TTCCGTGAAGAATTTCTTCCTAATGTCCAGCCTAAACTCGCCCAGTTGCAACTTGAAACCCTTCCCCTTGGTTCTGTCCCTAATTCCAGCACCAACCTCTCTACAATGTCCTTTCAAGTAATTGTAGAGCATGATGAGATGCCCCCTCAGCCTCCTCTTTGTCAAACTGAACAGACCCAGCTCCCTCAATCGCTCCTCACAAGGTCTGTTCTCCAGGCCCTTCACCAGCTTTGTTTCCAAGGGTCGAGCTTCCACCACCTCTCTGGGCAACTTGTTCCAGTGTTTCAACACCCTCACCCTAAAAAATTTCTTCCTTATATCTAGTCTAAATCAACCCTCTTTTAGTTTAAAACCATTGCCCCTTGTCCTATCACAGCAAGGCCTGCTAGAAAGATGATCCCATCTTTCTTATCGTCCCCCTTTAAGTATTGAAAAGGTCTTGGAGGTGGAGTCAGCACCTCTGTCCTTCATGGGACCGTGTTTCTTTGGTTGAGGGGAGAGAAGAGCTGAAGAGCTTCCTCCTGTCACACTGATCAAGACTTGTGATGTGGAAAATGATCTGTGTTTTCCTACCGAGAAGCATCCTCAAGGATTTTTGCATTGATTGATTTCTTTGCTAAACTGAGGTCCCCTCATCTACTAGAGTTTAGATTTTGCTTTTGTTAAGCATAATCCATGAAAACATAGGTAATGTGCTCAGATCAGAGGAGCTAATCAAAGAAAGCTGGGAAATTCATAGAGTCGTGGAATAGTTTGGATTGGAAATTCTTATTAGCTAAGTGACTGTGAGTTGAACCCATTAGAAGCAGATGTGACTTCAAAACCCTAAAAACCTGCAGGCTGAGGCCATAATTTGTAACGGGGCCCAAAACTTTTAAAATTAGGGTTTACCCCCAAATAATCCCGGTCACTTTTATAACTTACAGAAGGGAGTTTTGGAATTGTTTAATGTTTCTTTTTTGCCAGAAAAGGTGCAGGGCTGCTCACAGAAAGTACTGCAGTCCCGTGTTTTGACGTGCTTGCAGTCATAGGAGATTCGAGCTGATGATTAGTGTGCTCTTCATCTCCAGCTTTGGTGATAAAACAAGTATTTAGTGTGTTTATAAAGTGATCTTAATCACTGGTGGAACCACATTGGAGTCCTTGCTGTCTGCCCATGGGCAGTGAAGCAGACACAGCTTCCTCGCAGGTGCTCAGAACATGCTGGTTGGATCCTAGACCCCAGCAGATAATTGATTCCCCTAGAATGAGAAAAAAACGTTTTTGTCCTTCAGTTACAAACGTAAAATCTCCATTTTCTGCTGAGCCTCTCGCTTCCTCATGTCATATGAACCAAGTACTGATTTTTTTCTGCCAGTTTTCAGTCAATTAAGTCCTTTAACTTACCCTTTAAAGAAGTTAATTTGCTTCTCTGGGGTTTCAAGTATCCGCAGCTGGAAGGAAAACAGTGGAAACCTTTTTAACAGTCTACTTAAAAATGGTATTTGCTAGAAAGGAGCTAACAGTTTCTGGAAGTACCTTCATCTTGGCTGCAGCTTATGAGAATGAAGAGGCTAACAAGTATCGCTGTGCCATGACATCGCTTGTCTGTGACTCGGTTTCCCCAGCAGTAAAAGGGGACAATCGCACCCATTGCACCGCGCCAGTCAGTGCGGGTGGACACACCGGTGTTTCCTCGCTGTTTGCGGCACAGAGAGGCGTCCTCTGCCAGCACAGGCTCATCCACAGCAGGACAGACACTGTTAGAAGGAGCTGGTGCTACAAAAGCTCATCGTGCGCGGTCATATCAAGACCCTTGGGTTGTTTCTTTCACGTGTGCAGGACAGCAGGTTTGGTGATGGAGCTCTGGAAGAATATTTCCTTGAGCTCGGGGTGCCGGGGAGAGAGTGTTCCTTTTCCTCTGTGCATTCAGAGCAGCTCGTGTTAAGATGTCAGCAGTTTATATATAACGCATCCAAGTTCGTGAGCTGACGTGTCGTTTTGTTTTAGATTGTCTCCTACCTGCTCGATCTTCCAGAAAAAGACGAAGAGGAGGTGGAGCGAGCACAAATCAACAGCTTTGACAGCCTTTGGGGAGAGACAGGTGATTTCTGTAGATGCTGTAGCTTCTTCTTGCATGTCTGCATTTGTGTTTATGGGCTCCCTGTCACCTGATGCATCCCTGACCCCGGGCATTGCTTTGATGAAAGTAGGAGGATCAGTTCCTCTGATTTGATTGCAGGTGATTTACAGGTGCCAGGGCAGAGCTTGCACGATTTAAGTCAAACAGAGGAGTTTGGGTTTTGAAAATCCTGAGCTTCTGCAGCTCCTGGCACTTTGCAGGAGTGTGCAGGCAAGCAGCATCTCTGACAACCAGGCAGCTAACCCCTATGAAACATCTCTTGTTAAGTGAGATGGACAAAAAATTCTGCTCTTTCTTGATATTTGACATATTTATCCAAAGCATCTTGCTCTTCCCCCTTCCCCATTACATACAGCACCACGACTGTTAAAATTGTCCATTCATTTTCTGAAAACTTCTCATTATTTAGCACCTGGTAATTAAACAAACGTCCCTTTGTGCAATCGTACTCTGATTTTGTGTTGATGCGTGTAACAGAGAAGCCCCGCTTCCCTAACTTCTGCCAAACCAAAAGCAGCCGTTCACCCCTTCCACTCCACAGATCCGAAACACCCTGGCATCTCCATGTCTTGAGCTCCACAAACCTGGAGTTGTTAACTTTTAACTCCAACGACCTCATAAATATCATCCGCTGTCTTTTGTACTTGACTTGCTAATCTACTTGCATCACCGGTAATGTTCCTGTCAACTTAATACACCAAGGTAATGTTCCTGTCTGGGTAACGGAGCGCTGATTTTGATTCTGTCAGCTTTGTTTAAAAGCGACACGATTCAAGGGTACAGCCAGTGGCTGACGTTCCGTCTTCGTCGGGTTGTTTCTGGTTAGAAGGGAGGACAGGGAGAAGCTGGGTTAGCTGATGGGTACCCTGTACATTTGAAAATGTAGCCTTGTTAGAGCCTTGTATTGAATAGATTCTTATCAAAAAGTGCCACCCCTGAGTTTAAAGGACAAAAGTGGGGAGGGGTGAACTGTCCCGGCAGGGAGCCGTGCGTTGGCTGGAGGGAAGGAGCAGAAAGAAGGGCAACATCCACGAATAATCGATGTAAATGTGCCCCTAGGATGTTAGGGCAGAAAAGAGAAATGAAATGTGGAATTAGTCAAATGACATGGCTGAGCTCGGGCAATAGGACGGCGGCTCTGCCATTGGTGAGCACGCAGGTCACAGTGGTGACCGCGCCACACATGGCTCATCCGAAGTGTCCCTGGTGGTTGGGTCCTGAGGGCCATCCTCAGGCAATCCAGGTGCCTTCAGAGGTCGATGGGAAGCCCCTAAAGGTGTCTCCCTGCAATGTAACCTCATGGGCAACATCAGACGTTACCGACACGCTCCTCGAGTTCAACTGGCCCTGGGTGAAGCTGCCAAAGCCTGGTGTAAAGCCGAGAGCGTTTGCAGAAGACTCTTCCATGTCTGTTGTCCCCTCTTCCCATACCTCTGCCCCCAACAACACCAAAAACTGGACTCGTGCCCACAGCTGGGAGTGCCTCTGTCTGAGAGCGGTCTCTGAGTAACTGAGGTAGTTGGGAATGCAGGTTTCTGATTTCGCGGGTTGCACACAAGTAGAGGAGCTGCCTCAAAGGAACGCCCATTTATCCCATTAAATATAAATGGTAAAATGAGCAAAAATGAGCCAACCACTCAATTCAGCAGTCTTGTGTCCTGTCACAGACAGGACAAGTTATTATGATCTCAAGATTCCCTTTCACATTGCTTTATTATTACTGTTTTCCCAAAAGCAAAGAGCGAGTTTAGACTCTGTGTAGAGAAACTGTGGTTTCCACCTAAATATAGCAATCTGCTCTAAAAATCTGAATCACGGCTGGTTTTTGATACTTGTTGCTCATGTGTCTAATCTTCTGCAGAGCAGACCTGATAGCCTGGCTTAATGATATCAGGCTGATATCATCCAAATGGCAGGGCCAAGTTACATCATAAGTTTAGAAATTGCTGACAGCATTCTGTAGCCAATTCCAGATGGAATATTTCCCCCTGGGATGAGACTGTTATCAAAACCCAGTATAAAAGTATCTGAGTCACTTGTAATAATTCCATCAGAGCTGGAGGTGCAAAGGACTTGCATCAAACTACATTTGTCTTGCTGCCAGGCTGTGAAACAACTACAAGTGTCATCTAGGAGCAATTTAATGATTCCTTCTCATGATAAAGTTGGTTTTTCTCTAAGAAAACAGGTCCCTGGCATTGGAGGCTGTGGCTTATCTGACATTGTCTGCTGATGGAGCGGGGCACGTCGGCACCTGAAACTCCTCTTGGGTTTTGTTGGAGCCATGTTTTGAGAAGTGCAGCAGCTGGTTTTGTGACGTTTATACCAAGACTTTATTATTGCACAGTGAGTTGTTCTCCTGGCACAGCCTCCTCATGGAAAAGCTGCAAAATGAACGTTCCTGTTTTGCAGCCCAGGATCCTTGGCTGGGCTTGGTGGACTCACCTTGTTCATGCTTGGCCACAGGGGCTCTCTGGCAGACAGTAAAACTCCAAACAAAACCATTTCTGTTTATCTCATTTCCTCTCTTCACCTTTCCTTGGTTTTTCCAATCTCCTTTCAACACAGAGGCACAGCCTTACCTTCTGTTATGGGTTTTTTGGAGTCTAAGTAGGCACATGGGTGATGTCAGAAGCAGGTTGATAAGTCTGTCTAAGGAGTGCTAGAAGGCTGAAATAAGCAGTTATTTCTGAAGTAGTTCAGTTGAGCTTTTGGGCTCGGACAGTTGGATACCAGCCACAGGATGGTGCTCTGTGCGTGAGGTGACGAGCGGTGGAGCTGGAGCTTGGGCATGTTGAAAGCCGCTTTGGTGAGAAGGCTGGAGATGGAGGCTGGAGAAGGAGGATGAGGCACCTGCACTGAGAGCAGGAGCAGACGGTCCAGCTCGCTGCAGTTGGAGGAACCACAGCCGGTTATCTAGTCCAACCTGTGGTGCTTATGAAGTCTGGATGTATCTTGGAGAGTTGCCTCCTAGGATCCAGCTGCTTCGAGCTCCTTTTGTCCCTCGGAGACTCCGTTTCTGCATTTCTGAGGATAAATGCTTAGATATCTGTGCACTACACCAGGCGAGCTTGGATAGGTTTCTCTCAGCAAATCCAGGTCATCAGCGTGGAACCATCCTGAAGCAGCAAGGTCTGACTGCTCAGCAGCACAGAAGCTTTGGAGCAAATCTTGAGCTGGAGCTGCAAAGCCCAGGCTGGAGCTACGTACCCACATCAGTTGCTTTGACCCTGAGGAACGGAGTAGCAAGAGACACATCGGTCTGTGTAGAGTGGATTGCAAGGCGGAGTGGACAAGGGTATGGCCATGGATCAAGTCATCCTGGTTCAGTAAAGTCTTTTCCAAAAACCATTCGATCGTGAACACCAAACAGGTGATTTACAGCGTTTTCATTCTGGCAAACTTAAGTCGTTTTGACGTGAAATACCTCGAATTAACCTGCAACACTTCAAATGCAGGCAGGTTTAGAAATAGAACCCAAAAGCCTGCATGCTGATCCCTTTGCCGTGCACATTACACACAGTCCTCCTTCTATATTTGTGGCTTACGTTTAAAGCCCACATGGATCTGATTATAGATTTTGCAGTATGTTCTGCTTGTGGCAGCGAGATGATTTTTCTTTTAACTCTTTGTGGCTCTCAACCCCGAGAGAAGAAAACTCAACCGTTATGTGAAGCAGAACAGAGAATTAATTAAATCCCCCAACATTAACAGTGTTGCAGTTGGAAACCCATCAACACCTCGTAAGCAGCCATCCCACAGAAATGTACTTCAGAGAAAAAACAAGCTACGTCAGTTAGAAATAGACTCCCACCTTCTGCTCAAACTCCTGCTAGAAGCAGCAGAGCACGGAGCCGGAGGAGCTGTGCTGAAGTGCACAGAACGTTGGGGAGAGGAGGGAGGAACCAAAAAGTCTAAAATTAATACCAAAGGCGAGTCAAAGGCAGGTCCCGCACTTGGAACTATTTTCAGATGGAATGTGTCTTTTCGACCCCAGCCGTACGCTCTGAGTTACCAGATCACATTTTGTCAGGGAAGGAGCTGTCGGGTGTTACTTCTACCCACCTGTAACAGTGTGAGCGTCTGTAACACAGGAAACAAAGGCTAATTTTGGTTTTGCAGGAAGTCCTTTGCTGGTAAAATCAGCCCTGGCCAGAAACAAAGCCTAGAATTAGCCTTGGAGAAGAGGTGAACATGCTCAGACCATTTTTGCTTTCCAGTTGTTCCCTGAATTTCAAAAATGCACAAGCTATAGTGAGATATTAAAAATAAAAAGTCCTCCATCTGAATTACGCTGCTCTGTGCTTATTCAGTCGGAGAAAACCCGCAAATTTGGCTGACAGCGAGTGGCTGGCAGTGATCTGTCAGGACCTCCAGCCTGATCCCTCACTTGCTCTCTTGTAGTCACGGTGGAATGAGTCAAGGACAGGTTGCAGAAGGTCTTGTCGAGACAGCACATACCTAAAGACCTGGGTTTTCTCTGGACGTCGTGCCCCTACTAAGACACCTGTGTCTTTTGGAGTAGGGAAACCTGCAAGGAGGGAGGTACAGAGGGGAATGGTGAAGCTTTCCCATGGTGAGGCTCTACGGTTCTTTGCAGCAACACCTCAAACCTCAGCCACTTGTGCCTGTAGATTATTTTACACTTATTGTGGTTTTCAGCCAGCTTCACTGCACCTTGTGGAAAATAATAAAAGCTGACTGTCCCAGTCAGCCTCTTTCCATGATGTTAGGAGATCTTTTCATGGAAGAGTTGACCTTTGAAGTAAACTAAAATGACAAGCAAGAGCTAGAACTGTACTGACCCAGCCCATTCTCTTTGTGTTTCCCCATCGTGAGGTACGTTTGGCATTTCAGGCAGCATCGATTCCGCATCCGGCAGAAAGACCTGGCTCTGGGTTGGAAAAAAGTTTCATGGGAAGCGTGACTCCTTCCCTTCACTGCTCTCCTCTCTCCCCAGCTCTGACGGCGGCGGCTGGACGCGGGAAGCTGGACGTCTGCCGGCTCCTCCTGGAGCAGGGAGCGGCGGTGGCACAGCCCAACCGCCGCGGGGTCGTTCCGCTCTTCAGCGCTGTCAGGCAGGGCCACTGGCAGGTGAGCGAGTTCCTCGGGACCATCCCTTCCGTCCCACCCAAATACAGGTGGAGAAGAGAAACCACAACTCCTTGGGGGAGTGGTTGGAGTGAGAAGCGGCAATATTGATGTTTCAAACCCCCCAGGCTCTTGCTGGCTGCAGACAGCTTAAGTACTGTGTTTTCTTGCCATTATCAGAATCCTGGAATGGTTTGGGTTGGAAAAGACCTTAAAGTTCAGCTCATTCCAACCCTCTGCCATGGGCAGGGACACCTCTCACCAGCCCAGATTGCTCAAAGCCCCGTCCAACCTGGCCTTGGACACTTCCAGGGAGGAGGCGATGTCCACAACTTCTCTGAGCAGCCTGTACCAGTCCCTCACCACCCTCACCGTGAAGAATCTCAGTCTGCCCTCTTTCAGTTTGAAACGGTTACCCCTTGTCCTGTCACTACACCCCCTTTTCCACCCCAGCTTTTCTGTAGCCCCTTTAAGTACTGGAAGGCGGCTCTGAGGTCTCCCAAAGCCTGGCTTAAAAGGTCCTGCCCTTATACCACCATTGCTTCTCTGTTCCCTAACCCCAGAGCCATCACCCCAGAGGGCACCATGCCTTGGGCCGTGAGGTTTCACGACATGGGGACCACTCTGCTCTTCCTTGACTCTGTTTTTTTTTCCCCAGCTGGGTCTTTACATAGACCGTGTGTTCTTGCTTCGTGTGTTGCAGATCGTCGATCTCTTACTGACGCACGGCGCTGATGTGAACATGGCAGACAAGCAGGGGAGGACGCCGCTGATGATGGCTGCATCCGAGGGACACCTGGGCACCGTGGAGTTCCTGCTCGCGCAAGGTTAGAGCACGCGCTTGGAAGTGTGTTGGGAGACCGGCCATGGCGAGACGTGGTAAAATCACAGGATGGTTTGGATCGGGCGGTGGGAGCGGTTCTGGGCACCAGATCCAGCTGATTGGAGAACACAACTGGAGTAGTCGTAGCCTTAATCCTGGCTCTCCGTTTTGTGTCTGCGTTTGGTGCTCACAGCCTCGAAACCATGCATTTGAGGAAGAAAATAAAATAACGTATCGTAGGTGCTTTGAGCGTTAAGAATATGCCCTTGAAGCACGCTTGGAGCTTTCCCCTGAGACAATAAAGTCACCGAGCGATGTGATTGAACCGTCAGCATCGCTGTGGTGCAGGCAGGCAAGACAACCACAGGATCAGAGTTTGGGACATGTTTTAACATTTCCATTTCCTGTTAGTAGTGTTGCCCACGTTACTGACACCAGCGTCGACAGGATTTGGTGTATTTGTTGGAAATAAACCAGAATTGTTTTGCCCTTCAGCTTTGCATCCACAGATTCACTTTGCTCGGTACTTTCAGTGTCTAATGATATTTTTATAATGATATTTTTATTTCAGGTAAGATCCCTCTTTGGAAAGGGATGTTATCTTCATATCGTAAGTGACTGTGTCTGACCTCTTAGCTGAGATGTGAGGCACTTGAATATTTTGTATAGTAGCTGTAAGAACACACTTTCACTGTAAAATCACCAGGTTTCCAATAACAAGTTCCTCATTGCCTGTCTTTCTGTCCTGAGCCACAGGCCAGTGGGATCCGTGCTGTTCACTGCTGTAACCTGCACAGGGACACGGCAGAGATCAGTTTGAGGCATGAATTTCTTGTCAATTAATTCGGTTAATTCTTTTCTGATGTTCTGGTTTTTTAAAAATTTCAAAGTAACCCTCTCCATGTTTGAGTTGAAATGGCCCCTTTTGCAACTTGACCAAATCTGTGTAAAAGGCTTAAAGTAAGTGATTTATTTTTTTTTTGCAAGACTTGAGAACTGTGCAGATTGTTTAAGACTGGTTCAGTAGGGGATGAAAATACAAAATAATCTGGTTCTGGTTATGAGATGGCCAGCAAATGCACGCAATATTTCCCTGGTTCTTGGGACACTGGGAGACCAAGAACTAAAAAAAGCGAACATCTTTTTCACTCTAAAAGGTCCATTCTTCTAAACCGATTAATGAACTCCACTAAATATGGTGTAACACCTGATCCTGAAAAGGTAGCTCAAGCCTGGGCAGAGTACAGTGATATATGGTGTATTTTAATTAAAATGAGTTTGACAGTCCTGTTCAATGTTTCATTAAAATCCAAGTGTGTGAATCATAAGCCATAAGCATTAATTAGTGTGTTGCAAAGCAAATCTCATTTGACTCTACTTGATTAACACAGTCAGCATTTGTAAACACTTTTTATTAACAGAGTTGCAGTCATCAATCAATTTGAAATCGAAATTTTTAGAGCTACCTATTGCTCTCGCTTAACACCCAGAAGTAATGGCCGAGTGAAGGGTGAATTAAAGTTTCCTGGTAGCAGCCAGGATATTTATATGGGTCTGTGCTACACAAAGCAAAATAATTCTTGATGCTTGATCTGTTTGGAGAGAGCTTGATTCTGAATCTCCTTTTTCTGCAAAAAAATCAAACTCTCGGTGTTTTTGCTACCTGAGGGTACCCAGCAGGTGTGGGTGCTGCTCCCGGCTGTCTCGTCGTCCAGTGCTGAGCCTCATCCCCGAGGTGGGTTAACCCTGCCTGGGCACCACAGCTTCGGATGCACGGAAGGGACCCGACCATCCCAGCCACTCCCTGCTTATTTTTAGAATCACAGAATGGTTTGGGTCAGAAGGCACCTCAAAGATCATCTTGTTCCAACCCTCCAACCATGGGCAGGGACCCCTGCCACCAGCCCAGGTGGCTCCAAGCCCCGTCCAACCTGGCCTTGGGCACTGCCGGGGATGGGGCTGCCTGGGCAAACCTGGGCCAGGGTCTCAGCACCCAGGGGAGAACTTTCAAATCTCCAAGCATCAGTCCTTTCTTTTTCTTCCTCCAGCTGGCTCATTGCTGTGTGTAACATACTGAATCATAAACTCTCATGTTCAGACAGTTAGTTTTTTTTTTTAGCAAAAGAGCAGCTCAGCCCTTCCTAGAAACAAGCTGGGTTTACCTCAACAAAATCTTTCCCACTGCAGCAGAGATTGGTCCCGTGAGGTCACCACCTTAAGCCACTTGTCCTCGAAACCATCCATGCCTCAATGCTAAGTGGGTCGGAGATCCCTGGAGAAGCCAAAGATGCTGTCGGAGACAAGCAGAGGTTGTGCTGGGAGCTCGGTGTGTCGGCAGAGGTTACGCCCAGCCTGCCTCGGAGCATTTCTGAAGCTGTATGCGTTGGCTGCTCAGCTCGCGTCGCTGCAGTGATGCCCTGAAGTCTGTGCCCGTCACGCTGTGGGTCAGGGTGTCTCTTCCACTGGACCGTGAAGAGTGGGGAAATTGAGTGATGATGTGATTTTCCAGCCTTTCCCTCTTCCTGCAGGAGTTTTCTCACCTGCTCCGGAAGAGTCAGAGGGAAAACACAAGAGAAGACTTTGGCGGTTTTATTGCAGTAAAGTAGCTGGTACAAATAAGGAGGAAAGAAATGAGGCTCTATAGAATCGTTTGGCTTGGAAAAGACCTTTAAGATCAAGTCCAGCCGGTAACCTAGCGCTGCCAGGTCCACCACTAACCGGCGCCCCCAAGCACCTCATTGCACAGCTTTTAAATACCTCCAGGGATGGTGACTCAACCACTGCCCTGGGCAGCTTGTTCCAATGCTTAACAACTCTTTCAGGGAAGAAACTTTTCCTAATATCCAATCTAAACCTCCCCTGGTGCAACTTGAGGCGCTTTCCTTGTGTTGTTTGTTACGTAGGAGAAGAGACCGACCCCCACTTCTCTTACAGCCTCCTCTCAGGGAGCTGCAGAGAGCGAGGTCTCCCCTCAGCCTCCTCTTCTCCAGGCTGGACAAGCCCAGCTTTTATCCTGCCATGCTGAGCAGAAGTTGGCCTTGAGTCAGCTGAGGATCACCTGGAGGGCTTCCAGAGAGCTTCTGAAGGGTTCCTGGGTGCAGTGTGGGCAACGTGAGAGAAGACTGGCAGGATGTTGGGAGTTTGCGGTGCCATCCCTTAGCTCATACGTCCGAGTTGCTGTGCAGCCAGTGTCCCCCCGGCTTGTCCCAGCCGCTGTTCCCACCTCCCTCGCTGGCGCTCGACGGTGCGTTTCGTGAGCAGGAAGCGTGGCTGTGCCGAGTGCTCTGGGCAGAGGTTCCTGAACACACCCCAAACAAACGTTCAGGTGTTGCGCTCCCCACAAACAAGCTGCAGGACCTGTCAGTTTGCCGTCGTGGGTGACGTGTGCGAACCAGAGGATCTGTCTGCTGGGATGAACAGGAAGGCTCAGGAAATTCGCGTTATTCCCCCACTTGCTGAGCTTTCTGGAGCCAGCAAAGATCTCACACTGGGCAATTTATTTTGAGTTTACCTGTGGCAGAAAAAACCTGCAGCAGCAATTCATCCCAGCCTGCAAGCAGGAGCATCCCGCACGTAGCCATGATTCCTTGGAGGAGTAGAGATGATGCACATCTCTCCTGCGTTCTCGAGAGCCGGAGCCCTGCCTGTGCCATGGCAACAGGAGTTGTCTTCATGCCACGAAGAGGAGTGTTCACTTCGTGCTGCTGTTGAGCTCTCACACGCGTATCCATATGCCGTATGAAGCAATGCTGACCCGTGGGTATGGCAGCGCGATTTCTTCATCCAAGAAAATGTCAAGTCCCTCTCTGCTTGGCTTGCAGTTGGCAGTAGTTTATCCCACAACGTCGTATTTATATTGGGTGAAATTCAGGGAGAAACGCGCTGGAAATGGTGTCGATTTGGGTAAAGGAGGGGGGAAGAGGGGAAGAAGAACTGAGCTAAATTCACTTAGTTCCCCTTGGTATGCCATGACCTGCTGAAACAGCAAAATGGTCTTCATCTCTGACTCACACGGGCTGGAATGGGTTTTGATTAAAAGAAAACAAAAAACAGTTAAAAAGAAAGATTGATGTCTCAGATGAGGCATTTCAAATCCGCCCTGCTGCTCAGAAGACGTTTGCCAGAAAAGCCTACAGAGCTAGGTGCGAAAAAGTTTGCAGCTTGGTGTGAATAAACTCATTTGCCACAGTTCCTATCGGTGCATTTGAAGTTGCAGTGGAGGGTGGGATCTGTGGTGGGAGAAATGTTAATAAAGTAATTAATAATTATGTACATAGCTCTCTAAAAATAAGCTGTCGTCACTAAGCGGATGGTTTCTCAACAAGAGAGCTCTCTGGTGAACCGATGCTTGTTCTTTCAGGTGCCTCCATCTCTCTGATGGACAAGGAGGGTTTGACAGCCCTCAGCTGGGCTTGTCTGAAGGGACATCTCTCCGTGGTGCGCTCTTTGGTGGAGAACGGCGCCGCCACCGACCACGCGGATAAAAACGGGCGCACTCCGCTGGACCTGGCAGCGTTTTACGGCGATGCAGAGGTGGTGAGTGGCCTGTAACACCTGCACAAGAAAACAGCACTTGGCTTAAAAGCCTTAAAATAGTACAGTACAGTTGGACCTGATGTAGCAAGAAGCGTGTAGAGTCCTGGCCCTTCATATGAGCACCCGCAACACGTGGGCACCACCTTCCCTTTGTCGCATTTTTCCACCTTCCACGAAGGAGAGCTCATGAGGTTGATGTTCCCTCAGACCGTAGAGAGAGGTGGTTTTGGCTCAAGCAGAACCATGCTGGTCGGACGTCCCCAGCAGCACCCGAAGGTCTCACCCCAGAGGAGAACCAACTGTTGGGCTTCTCCTTGCAGGTCCAGTTCCTGGTGGACCACGGGGCCATGATTGAGCACGTCGACTACAGCGGGATGCGGCCCCTCGACAGGGCGGTGGGATGCCGCAACACCTCGGTCGTCGTCACTCTCCTGAAGAAAGGAGCCAAAATAGGTAGGGGCAAGGGGACAACGGGCCGTTGGCTCTGTGCTCAGGCAGGACTCGGAGCAGCGGGGCTGGCTTCCCAGAGAGTATCGGCGTAACTC